TTGTTGACATCAAACAAATAAATACACCATGTTGTAGTTTATGTTTATTGTTGACTTCAAACAAATAAATACACCATGTTGTAGTTTATGTTTATTGTTGACATCAAACAAATAAATACACCATGTTGTAGTTTATGTTTATTGTTGACATCAAACAAATAAATACACAATGTTGAAGTTTATGTTTATTGTTAACATCAAACAAATAAATACACCATGTTGTAGTTTATGTTTATTGTTGACATCAAACAAATAAAAACAACATGTTGTAGTTTATGTTTATTGTTGACATCAAACAAATAAATACACCATGTTGTAGTTTATGTTTATTGTTGACATCAAACAAATAAATACACCATGTTGTAGTTTATGTTTATTGTTGACATCAAACAAATAAATACACCATGTTGTAGTTTATGTTTATTGTTGACATCAAACAAATAAATACACCATGTTGTAGTTTATGTTTATTGTTGACATCAAACAAATAAATACACCATGTTGTAGTTTATGTTTATTGTTGACATCAAACAAATAAATACACCATGTTGTAGTTTATGTTTATTGTTGACATCAAACAAATAAATACACCATGTTGTAGTTTATGTTTATTGTTGACATCAAACAAATAAATACACCATGTTGTAGTTTATGTTTATTGTTGACTTCAAACAAATAAATACACCATGTTGTAGTTTATGTTTATTGTTGACATCAAACAAATAAATACACCATGTTGAAGTTTATGTTTATTGTTGACATGAAACAAATAAATACACCATGTTGTAGTTTATGTTTATTGTTGACATGAAACCAATAAATACACCATGTTGTAGTTTATGTTTATTGTTGACATCAAACAAATAAATACACCATGTTGAAGTTTATGTTTATTGTTGACATCAAACAAATAAATACACCATGTTGAAGTTTATGTTTATTGTTAACATCAAACAAATAAATACACCATGTTGTAGTTTATGTTTATTGTTGACATCAAAAAAATAAATACACAATGTTGAAGTTTATTGTTGACATCAAACAAATAAATACACCATGTTGTAGTTTTTGTTTATTGTTGACATCAAACTACAATATGGGCAGAGTACATATAGGCGTGCGTGTTGGTCATTGAATACAACTGGGAATGAAGTATAGGCTACGATTTTTACACAATGGAAATGGCGTGTAGGATGCGATTTATTCACACACAGAATGGCGTGTAGGATGCGATTTATTCACACACAGAATGGCGTGTAGGGTGCGATTTATTCACACACAGAATGGCGTGTAGGATGCGATTTATACAACTGAATAAAAAGGCTGGTTTAACTGAATAGGGAATGTAAGGACAATATACATTTAAGTTATTTATACAGCAGGTTTTTAACTGTAACCTTTACGTAAGGACAATATTCATATGTTATTTATACAACTGGGAATGTATGTTAGCACAATATACACGTAAGTTATTTATACAACAAGGAATTACATGTACTTTTACATTAGGGAATGTATGTATAGGCTGTGCTTATGCAACAAGGAATGTATGTGCGTATAACATAATTACATACACACTTTGTTTTTTAAATATATGTATATGTGTGTGTCTGTATATATACATATATATTTATAGGCTGTGTTTGTAGAAGAACACAGATCTGATCCAAAACAGTTGTGATCATGTGAAATGATGACTGTAAACTACTTGAACAAGAAAATATATGCTGATTGTCATGTGTACAACAGTGTGTGTGTGAGAGAGTGTGTGTGAGTGTGAGAGTGGTTTCATGCGATACACCGCCACTGTGGTGTGAAATATTTAACTGTCACAGCATGATGAACTGTGGTGGCCATTTCCCTTCCTCGTTGCCTTACATTTCCAGAACTTTCCGAACATCATCTGAAACGCCTCTGTGAGACTGGGTTTAGCCCACAGCCATTTAGCGTAAGAAAGAAAAAATGTTTCAATTTATATTTTTTTGTTTTAAAAGTCCAAAAAAGTCCGTGCCGTGTGGCACTAGTCCTATCCACAACTTTCTGTCCCATGTACATCCAGTTAACTCTGACACAGACAATCTTCTATGTCACAATATCAAATTGCCCAGTGTCTTCTCTCTCGGTCTTATACCGTCACGATGCACTCCATAGTTCTTCTCTCTCGGTCTTATACCGTCACGATGTACTCCATAGTTCTTCTCTCTCGGTCTTATACCGTCACGATGTACTCCATAGTTCTTCTCTCTCGGTCTTATACCGTCACGATGTACTCCATAGTTCTTCTCTCTCGGTCTTATACCGTCACGATGTACTCCATAGTTCTTCTCTCTCGGTCTTATACCGTCACGATGTACTCCATAGTTCTTCTCATGAAATGACTATATCATGACAAGATGAACCATTGTCTCTGTCTGATGTGGGCAATCATTTTTCTATATATCTTCATGAGTCATTTCCTTTCTAGACATCTTAATTATTCTTTTGATCTGTCCAGGGTATTCTCATCAGTCGTCTATAAAACAGCTCCAAATAATATTTCACAAATTTACCAACTTTTATTTGTATAAGGAAATATGAATGTACGATGGCAGGATAGTTCTGTCAACTACAGAGCATAGATAGCACCGTGAAAGTGAGAGGACTTCTGTGACTGTAAGAAGAGATTTGGCTTCCACAGTATGTACAATATGTTAGAACATGATGTCATTCATACATGTTATATTGTGGTTTACAGCGGGGCTGAGATATCCGCCCAAACATTCAATTTCAGCAGAACCTTAATCAGTTGCCTTATATGACATGCTTGTTCATTTCCCCAACCCAAATGATTATAGGGGACAGTTGATTTCCCCAACCCAAATGGTTATAGGGGACAGTTGATATTCCCAACCCAAATGGTTACAGAGGGGACAGTTGATTTCCCCAACCCAAATGGTTATAGGGGACAGATGATTTCCCCAACCCAAATTTCTATAGGGGACAGTTGATTTCCCCAACCCAAATGGTTATAGAGGACAGTTGATTTCCCTAACCAAAATGGTTATAGGGGACAGTTGATTTCCCTAACCCAAATGGTTACAGGGGACAGTTGATTTCCCTAACCCAAATGGTAATAGTGGACAGTTGATTTCCCCAACCCAAATGGTTATAGGGGACAGTTGATTTCCCCAACCCAAATGGTTATAGGGGACAGTTGATTTCCCCAACCCAAATGGTTATAGGGGACAGTTGATTTCCCCAACCCAAATGGTTATAGGGGACAGTTGATTTCCCCAACCCAAATGGTTATAGGGGACAGTTGATTTCCCTAACCCAAATGGTTACAGGGAACAGTTGATTTCCCTAACCCAAATGGTAATAGGGGACAGTTGATTTCCCAAGCCCAAATGGTAATAGGGGACAGTTGATTTCCCTAACCCAAATGGTAATAGGGGACAGTTGATTTCCCTAACCCAAATGGTTATAGGGGACAGTTGATTTCCCCAACCCAAATGGGGCTCTGGAAGTTATAGGGGACTGTTCATTGCCCTAACCAAAATGGGGCCCTGGAAGTTATAGGGGACTGTTCATTGCCCCAACCAAAATGGGGCTCTGGAAGTTATAGGGGACTGTTCATTGCCCCAACCCAAATGGGGCCCCGGAAGCTATAGGGGACAGTTGATTTCCCCAACCCAAATGGGGTCCTGGAAGTTATAGGGGACTGTTCATTGCCCCAACCAAAATGGGGCCCTGGAAGTTATAGGGGACTGTTCATTGCCCCAACCAAAATGGGGCCCTGGAAGTTATAGGGGACTGTTCATTGCCCCAACCCAAATGGGGTCCTGGAAGTTATAGGGGACTGTTCATTGCCCCAACCAAAATGGGGCCCTGGAAGTTATAGGGGACTGTTCATTGCCCCAACCCAAATGGGGCCCCGGAAGCTATAGGGGACTGTTCATGGCCCCAACCCAAATGGGGCCCCGGAAGCTAAAGGGTACATATCTCTTATAAATGTGCAAATAAACAACCATGAAAAGTACATTAGAGAGACATCAGTATATCAACAAAATGTGTTTGACACAGCCACACATATACACACACACACACACACACATGCACACGCGCGCACATGGGAATCTTCAAAAGAAATTAGAAATAATTCTCACAATTTCCAAATGTGGCAATCAAACGCTGCCAAATTCACATAAAATCTAGAGTGGTCTGCCTGGCACCAAATTTTGATTATAATCAAGTACAAATAGGTTTTGCCATTATTTCTAAACAATATTGACGTTAGAAATATGGGGTTAACTCTTACTCTAAGATTAGAAATATAAAGTTACGTCTCACTCGGAGATTAGAAATACCGAGCTACATAAATTCACTTCTCATAATGAAATTTGAAATAACATGTTACATGAATTTACATCTCATACTGAGATTTGAAATAACTTGTTACATAAAGACGGTTCCATGATGTGATAGGTAATATCAAGTTATATGAGATTCTAAAGAGATAAGAAATTTACACAAAGACAGTCTCATTACGTATTGAAAGAAAAATTACTGATAACTGGAGTCACAATCATAAGGAAGATGAATTTAAACAACACAGACATGATAAAAATTGCAGACTGGAAAACAAAATATATGAGTGTACAAAACCTGTGCTACATCTAATGCAATGGCCAGGAAGTAGAGCTCACAGCCGTGGAAACCTGGCCACGACATGCCAGGATGAAGGAGTTGGAATTATTGGCCAAAGGGAATAAATAACGTAGATCCATGATAAACAGACAAGAAGAAGAAAAAGCATATCTAAAGGAACAGGTTTGCCGACTGAAGAAAGGCTGGGGATGGAGACAGGAGGCACATTCAGGATCACAGAGGGGACAACAAAGAATAAGACAACCCATTATTTAAAACAACAATTCTGTAAATAGTGACTATTCACACTATGTTTGTCTAAATTTACTTATTCTATTTCCAAACATGATTTACAAATAGAATTGTTCTAAATATTATTTCTTCCCCATGAGCTCAGATTTTATCCTCTCTGCTATTGCTCGACGCATGGCTAATTTCTTCTCCTCTTCTGGACTCAGCCGGGGAGGTTTCTGAGGAGCTCCTCCTTGCTGCAGTGCAGCTCGAGCTGCTCTAGCTGATGCTGGTCTCTGCGGCTGGGATTTCTCCGCTGAAAGTAGCTGCTTCTCTCTCTCCTTCCTCTTCATCTCCATCAGTTTATCTCTCTGTTGTTTTAAGTACTCTGCCCTCTTCTTGTATTCCTCCTCGGTCAACCCAGACATGTTTGCCTGAAATGATAGCATTCACTATAAGAAATACTAGGTCATGTGTGATGTTTGTAGTTAACACAACTAGGTCATGTTTGAGATTTGTAATTAACACAACTATGTCATGCCAGAGGTTTGTAATTAACATAGCTAAGTCATGTCTGAGGTTTGTAACTGACACAACTAATTTGTGTGTGAGGTTTGTAATTAACACAATTAGGTCTGTCGAAGGTTTATATTTGAAAACAGAAGCAGATGAAATCAATGCCATCTGTACAGAAAAATATGAAAGTGCCAGCTGTATGAGACAGGAAAAGATGAAGTCAGTGTCAGCTGTATAAGACAGGAAAAGATGAAAGTGCCAGCTGTATAAGACAGGAAAAGATGAAAGTGCCAGCTGTATGAGACAGGAAAAGATGAAGTCAGTGTCAGCTGTATAAGACAGGAAAAGATGAAAGTGCCAGCTGTATGAGACAGGAAAAGATGAAGTCAGTGCCAGCTGTATGAGACAGGAAAAGATGAAGTCAGTGTCAGCTGTATAAGACAGGAAAAGATGAAAGTGCCAGCTGTATAAGACAGGAAGAGATGAAGTCAGTGCCAGCTGTATAAGACAGGAAGAGATGAAGTCAGTGCCAGCTGTATGAGACAGGAACAGATGAAGTCAGTGCCAGCTGAATGAGAAGGAACAGATGAAGTCAGTGCCAGCCAGCTGTATGAGACAGGAACAGATGAAGTCAGTGCCAGCTATATGAGAAGGAACAGATGAAGTCAGTGCCAGCTGTATGAGAAGGAACAGATGAAGTCAGTGCCAGCTGTATGAGAAGGGACAGATGAAGTCAGTGCCAGCTGTATGAGACAGGAACAGATTAAATCAGTGCCAGCTGAATGAGAAGGAACAGATGAAGTCAGTGCCCGCTGAATGAGAAGGAACAGATGAAGTCAGTGCCAGCCAGCTGTATGAGACAGGAACAGATGAAGTCAGTGCCAGCTATATAAGAAGGAACAGATGAAGTCAGTGCCAGCTGTATGAGAAGGAACAGATGAAGTCAGTGCCAGCTGTATGAGACAGGAACAGATGAAATCAGTGCCAGCTGAATGAGAAGGAACAGATAAAGTCAGTGCCAGCTGTATGAGACAGGAACAGATGAAATCAGTGCCAGCTGAATGAGAAGGAACAGATGAAGTCAGTGCCCGCTGAATGAGAAGGAACAGATGAAGTCAGTGCCCGCTGAATGAGAAGGAACAGATGAAGTCAGTGCCCGCTGAATGAGAAGGAACAGATGAAATCAATGCCAGCTGTATGTGAAGGAAAAGATGAAGTCAGTGCCAGCTGAATGACTGATAACTGGTTTCTAACATGACAAAACTTACAACAGCCGCCTGCACAGCTCGGGAGTGTGCGTCCGATGAGTGAACTTCTGTTTCTGCATTTTTTAACCACGCAGCCGCTGCTTCTGCACTTGTGAGGTTTGTCTCTGGGATCTTCTCTAACCCACCAGCAACATGTGATGCCATTGACTTGGGCGCCACCGTCGTCTGGTGAAACATATAACATCCTGTGAGTAATGTTGTGAGACAGCCAGCAGACATACTATAGGATGATGCTATAAAACAGACAGCAGACAGCTCCCATCCATCCTCTAGTTCCAGTCAATCACACTTTACCACAAGGTAACTTACAACTGATGCTGTACTTTGTCCTGTGGATATTAATAGTCTTTATGGTGGATAGGCAGGTTTATGGTCAGTTATTTTTTGCTTCTGACAATAGTTAGCTGTTGCATTTTTAAACAGAAAGAGAACAGTTCTGTTGTTCAGTGCATGGTGCGACACTGTGAGCTGCAGATTTTAATTTTGAATACTTTTTTAACTGCCCAATGTGGTCTGTATTGTGAACAGCAGATTCAGACAATGGCCTGTTGCCAGAGAATTGACGGTGCCTTAGGCAAGTAATTGTGTTCTGTTTGGTTTCCTTGGCAAACTGCAAATTCCTCACCTAACCTGAATGAGGTAGTGGCCTTTTTGTGAGATTATTTTGCATGTTGTCAGATTCAGGTTCTCTTCTTGACATCCTCAGCGTCCTGTTCTACCTGGGGTTGCAGATGGTGCTGGACCCAATCTGTGACATCAGAAAAACATGACGCAACACGAAACAGAAAAATAAATAACAATCACAGGCTGAAAGCAGGATACAGGCTGAAAGCAGGATACAGGCTGAAGGAATGAACCCAAAAAAAACAAAAACAACAACAACTTGAAGAAACCGTAATAAATCTCCAAAACAGTAGCAGAAAGAGGAAAACATAGACAAAGAAGGTGACTACTGACTCACAGATGCCTGGCGTTTGGGCTGATGGTATGAGGCCGGTGCAGGGATGGAGGCTGACTTGGACAAGGATGGTTTTGTTCTATGTTCCACAGTCGGCTGCTCGCTCAGTTGAAGTGACCTTTGGATTGTCTGTGAAATGAAACAAGTAAAATATGAGGATCCAGAACAGAACGCACCAGTTTGATGGGATGCCTTGGACATGCGTGTCTTCTGCTGTTTCTTCTTTGTTTGCCTTGAAAAGTCTGGTTGGTTTGATTTGATTCAAGAACCGACATCACAGCACTCGGGGCATCCCCATAAGCACTTCGTCCCCATCTTCAGCAGCCAGCGAAGAGTTCTGATACTAATGGTGCCAGTAGTATTCTGATTAAACGTCCGTCTTGCCTTTCCTCTGAGCCTCGAGCATCTGCCAGCATGTGTGGTTGGTAAAATGTGTTGTGATTTACAACTAAGTTATGATATATGTGCCTTTCAACCCAAAACGAATGATTTTAGCCAAACCTAAATTGTGGCCTTTTATGGCAGACTAGTGAATGAGCAGGGGGCATGCCCCAACGAGAAGAAAGCATGTGAAAAGCAATACCTCAATGAGTATAGGAGGTAGGGTCAAGAACAAACACAACACTGAACTCAGTCTAGAAAGGTACAGACAAGAACAAACATAACACTGAACACAGTCTAGGAAGGTACAGACAAGAACAAACATAACACTGAACACGGTCTGGTGAGGTACAGACAAGAACAAACACAATACTGAACACAGTCTGGTGAGGTACAGACAAGAACAGACACAATACTGAACACAGTCTGGTAAGGTACAGACAATAACAAACACAATACTGAACACAGTCTGGTAAGGTACAGACAAGAACAAACACAATACTGAACACAGTCTGGTGAGGTACAGACAAGAACAAACACAATACTGAACACAGTCTAGGAAGGTACAGACAAGAACAAACACAACACTGAACACAGTCTGGGCAGGTACAGACAAGAACAAACACAATACTGAGTACAGTCTGGCGAGGTGCAAACAAGAACAAAGACAACACTAAGTCTTGCAAGGTGTAAACAAGAACAAACACAACACTGAGTAAGTCTGGTGAGGTGCAAACAAGAATAAAGACAGCACTGAGTCTAGCGAGGTGCAAACAAGAACAAACACAACACTTAGTAAGTCTGGCGAGGTGCAAACAAGAACAAAAAACACACTGAGTACAGTCTAGTGAGGTGCAAACAAGAACAAACACAACACTGAGTACAGTCTGGCGAGGTGCAAACAAGAACAAAGACAACACTGAGTACAGTCTAGTAAGGTGCAAACAAGAACAAAGACAACACTGAGTACAGTCTAGTGAGGTACAACCATGCCAGGACCTCGCTAAGCTTGTCCTGCTCGTGACGAAGTGACTCCTGGATCCTGTCACTCTCACTCTGTGACAGACCAATGATCATATGTAATTCTTCCGCTTCTCTTTGGGATTCCTTCTTCTCTTTTTCAAATTCTTCTCGGGATTGTCTGAAAAAAAAAAAATAGGCACACTGTTTTATATGCAAAACCTGAAAGACAATTATAAAAAACCCGAAAGTTCATTATACAAAACTTGAAAGTTAATTATACAAAACCTGAAAGTTGATTATACAAAACCTGAAAGTTAATTATACAAAACCTGAAAGTTGATTATACAAAACCTGAAAGTTGATTATACAAAACCTGAAAGTTCATTATACAAAACCTGAAAGTCCATTATACAAAACCTGAAAGTTCATTATACAAAACCTGAAAGTCCATTATACAAAACCTGAAAGTCCATTATACAAAACCTGAAAGTCCATTATACAAAACCTGAAAGTTCATTATACAAAACCTGAAAGTTCATTATACAAAACCTGAAAGTTCATTATACAAAACCTGAAAGTCCATTATACAAAACCTGAAAGTTCATTATACAAAAACTGAAAGTTCATTATACAAAACCTGAAAGTTCATTATATAAAACCTGAAAGTTCATTATACAAAAACTGAAAGTCCATTATACAAAACCTGAAAGTTCATTATACAAAAACTGAAAGTCCATTATACAAAACCTGAAAGTTCATTATACAAAACCTGAAAGTTCATTATACAAAAACTGAAAGTCCATTATACAAAACCTGAAAGTTCATTTTACAAAACCTGAAAGTCCATTATACAAAACCTGAAAGTTCATTATACAAAACCTGAAAGTCCATTATACAAAACCTGAAAGTCCATTATACAAAACCTGAAAGTCCATTATACAAAACCTGAAAGTCCATTATACAAAACCTGAAAGTCCATTATACAAAACCTGAAAGTCCATTATACAAAACCTGAAAGTTCATTATACAAAAAACCTGAAAGTTCATTATACAAAACCTGAAAGTTCATTATAGATCTACAATGTTGTCAAAACCTGTAGGTCATATTGATGCTGACCTCAGTTGTGATAAATTCAAAATAATCCTTCTTGATGGTGTTTTAATGTTCAAATTTTCATGGGACAGAGTTTGGCCTGCAACTTTTGCAAACTGCTTTAGACAAGCTGGCTTCTTACCTGCATTAGATGTACCAGTCAATGAGAATTCCGCAACATCATCTAGCAATGAGAGTAAAGTTACTGATATTTTAGTGAAGCCATTATTTGCTAGGTTGTATCAAGAGCTGAACATGGAACAGAGGAGTGTGGAGCCATCACTTGCTAGGTTGTATCAAGAGCTGAACATGGAACAGAGGAGTGTGGAGCCATTACTTGCTAGGTTGTATCAAGAGCTGAACATGGAACAGAGGAGTGTGGAGCCATTACTTGCTAGGTTGTATCAAGAGCTGAACATGGAACAGAGGAGTGTGGAGCCAGTACTTGCTAGGTTGTATCAAGAGCTGAACATGGAACAGAGGAGTGTGGAGCCAGTACTTGCTAGGTTGTATCAAGAGCTGAACATGGAACAGAGGAGTGTGGAGCCATCACTTGCTAGGTTGTATCAAGAGCTGAACATGGAACAGAGGAGTGTGGAGCCAGTACTTGCTAGGTTGTATCAAGAGCTGAACATGGAACAGAGGAGTATGGAGTCATTACTTGCTAGGTTGTATCAAGAGCTGAACATTGAACCAGAAGAGTATGGAGCCATTACTTGCTAGGTTGTATCAAGAGCTGAACATTGAACAGAGGAGTATGGAGCCATTACTTGCTAGGTTGTATCAAGAGCTTAACAAGGAACAGAGGAGTGTGGAGCCATTACTTGCTAGGTTGTATCAAGAGCTGAACATGGAACAGAGGAGTGTGGAGTCATTACTTGCTAGGTTGTATCAAGAGCTGAACATTGAACCAGAGGAGTGTGGAGCCATTACTTGCTAGGTTGTATCAAGAGCTGAACCAGAGGAGTGTGAAGCCATTACTTGCTAGGTTGTATCAAGAGCTGAACCAGAGGAGTGTGGAGCCATTACTTGCTAGGTTGTATCAAGAGCTGAACATGGAACAGAGGAGTATGGAGTCATTACTTGCTAGGTTGTTTCAAGAGCTGAACATTGAACAGAGGAGTATGGAGCCATTACTTGCTAGGTTGTATCAAGAGCTGAACAAGGAACAGAGGAGTGTGGAGCCATTACTTGCTAGGTTGTATCAAGAGCTAAACATGGAACAGAGGAGTGTGGAGTCATTACTTGCTAGGTTGTATCAAGAGCTGAACATTGAACCAGAGGAGTGTGGAGCCATTACTTGCTAGGTTGTATCAAGAGCTGAACCAGAGGAGTGTGGAGCCATTACTTGCTAGGTTGTATCAAGAGCTGAACCAGAGGAGTGTGGAGCCCTTACTTGCTAGGTTGTATCAAGAGCTGAACCAGGGGAGTGTGGAGCCATTACTTGCTAGGTTGTATCAAGAGCTGAACCAGAGGAGTGTGGAGCCATTACTTGCTAGGTTGTATCAAGAGCTGAACAAGGAACAGAGGAGTATGGAGCCATCACTTGCTAGGTTGTATCAAGAGCTGAACATTAAACCAGAGGAGTGTGGAGCCATTACTTGCTAGGTTGTATCAAGAGCTGAACATAGAACAGAGGAGTGTGGAGCCATTACTTGCTAGGTTGTATCAAGAGCTGAACATAGAACAACAGGAGTATGGAGCCATTTCTTGCTTGGTTGTATCAAGAGCTGAACATGGAACAGAGGAGTGTGGAGCCATTACTTGCTAGGTTGTATCAAGAGCTGAACATGGAACAGAGGAGTGTGGAGCCATTTACATATACTGTGACACAACAACTGCAGTTGCACTTACATATACTGTGACACAAAAACTGCAGTTGCACTTACATGTACTGTGACACAACAACTGCAGCTGTACTTACATGTACTGTGACACAACAACTGCAGTTGCACTTACATGTACTGTGACACAACAACTGCAGTCGCACTTACATGTACTGTGACACAACAACTGCAGTTGCACTTACATGTACTGTGACACAACAACTGCAGTCGTACTTACATGTACTGTGACACAACAAATGTACTTACATGTACTGTGACACAACAGCTGCAGCTGTACTTACATGTACTGTGACACAACTGTACTTACATGTACTGTGATACAACAACTGCAGTTGCACTTACATGTACTGTGACACAAAAACTGCAGTTGCACTTACATGTACTGTGACACAACAACTGCAGCTGTACTTACATGTACTGTGACACAACAACTGCAGTTGCACTTACATGTACTGTGACACAACAACTGCAGTCGCACTTACATGTACTGTGACACAACAACTGCAGTTGCACTTACACGAGAACAGCCATCAGAACCTTTTCTTCATCTCTGGGACCATGCTGCCCAGTTCCTGCCTTAACAGAGACTTCTTTGATCAAGCTCTCAGGAAGCACACCACCCATCATCTGGGAGATGAGCAACAGGGCCTGGTGCTGCAGCTCCAGGTTCTTCTGAGCCATGATCTGCACAAAGACTGGATAGTCTTCTGTGGCCAGCACCTGCTCCAGTAGCACCTGAATTGTGGATTGGATGATGAAACTGATTTAATATTTGTTCAGCTAGTGATGTGACAAAGTGGAGGCCAAATGACTCATATCTAACCTTCCAATGTTGACCCACTGTCCTCCTAACAAATGACACATATCTAACCTTCCAATGTTGACCCACTGTCCTCCTAACAAATGACACATATCTAACCTTCCAATGTTGACCCACTGTCCTCCTAACAAATGACACATATCTAACCTTCCAATGTTGACCCACTGTCCTCCTAACAAATGACTCATATCTAACCTTCCAATGTTGAACCACTGCCCTCCTAACAAATGACACATATCTAACCTTCCAATGTTGACCCACTGTCCTCCTGACAAATGACTCATATATAACCTTCCAATGTTGACCATCCTAAAAAGCATGCCGTAAGAGGTGACTATTAGGGGTTTTGTTTGTTCAAAGTCAGAGTACATTCCCCTGAGATGCAAGGAACAGCAGTCTTCATACAAGCAATTAAAATAATTCAGGGTGTTTCCTTCAAAGTCATAATACATCTGCCGGGGAGCTGAGAAACCAACAGTCCGTATATAAATAAGCCAGATATGTAAAAAAAAAAAAGAAGTGCATAGAAAACTTAAGTTCTGGAGCAGAATTGAAATCCAGAAGTGGACAAACAACCAGAACTTTCTGCTGGAGTTTACGGCCAGTGAACATTATGATGAAGAAGACCACGCCCACAACTAAAACAATCACAGCCTCGATGTCAATCAAACAAGACGTCCACACACACCTGAAGATGTCCACACACACACACCTGAAGACGTCCACACACACACACACACACAACTGAAGACATCCACATACACACACACACACCTGAAGATGTCCACATACACACACACACACCTGAAGATGTCCACACACACCTGAAGATGTCCACACACACCTGAAGATGTCCACACACACACACCTGAAGATGTCCACATACACACACACACACACCTGAAGATGTCCACACACACCTGAAGATGTCCACACACACACACACACCTGAAGATGTCCACACACACACCTGAAGATGTCCACACACACCTGAAGATGTCCACACACACACACCTGAAGACGTCCACATACACACACACACCTGAAGATGTCCACACACACACCTGAAGATGTCCACACACACCTGAAGATGTCCACATACACACACACCTGAAGATGTCCACACACACACCTGAAGATGTCCACACACACACCTGAAGATGTCTACATACACACACACCTGAAGATGTCCACACACACCTGAAGATGTCCACACACACCTGAAGATGTCCACACACACACACCTGAAGATGTCCACACACCTACACACACCTGAAGACATCCACATACACACACACACCTGAAGACGTCCACACACACACACACACACCTGAAGACGTCCACATACACACACACACAACTGAAGACGTCCACATACACACACACAACTGAAGACGTCCACATACACACACACACAACTGAAGACGTCCACATACACACCTGAAGATGTCCACACACAACTGAAGACGTCCACACACACCTGAAGATGTCCACACACACGCCTGAAGATGTCCACACACACACCTGAAGATGTCCACACACACCTGAAGATGTCCACACACACACCTGAAGATGTCCACACACAACTGAAGATGTCCACTACCTGAAAAAGGTCCCTAAGGTCTGGCTTAGAGTTGAGGTCTTTCATGGCCTGGATGATTTGGTCATGGGTCAGTCCGGTGTCTGCTCGGAACCCCTCCAAGAGAAGATCAACCTAGATTTGTTTAAAAATATTGGAAAAATTAAGTTAGCAATGTCATAAAATCAGGTCTTTTCAGCCCCCCCCCCCCCTTGCCCCCCCCCCCCCCCCCCCCCCCTGGAAAGATTTAGTTTCTTTCCTAGGTAGAAAAAACAAGACAGGGTTGGGGTAAAAAAGGCTGGGTTGATGTGAACAGGTGTCACATAACCTGAGTACTCCGGTCCTTTGAAGGTTTCTCCCCCCCCTCCCCCCCCCCCTTTTCCCTTGTGTGGGTAGTGTCACCTCAATGCTCCTACCCTCACAAATCAACTTTGTGGAGCCCCTGGTGCTGTTCTAATATTTGGTACTGTTTAAACAGACACCAACAAAGTTGACAGATACAGGTTCCTTGACTTGGCAAACGTGAGGTTGTCTTGTCTCACATGAACCACTTGCTTAAACCCTGCAGCATAAACAATGGGCTGTCCCATGATCACTTGCTTAAACCCTGCAGCATAAACAATGGGCTGTCCCATGATCACTTGCTTAAACCCTGCAGCATAAACAATGGGCTGTCCCATGATCACTTGCTTAAACCCTGCAGCATAAACAATGGGCTGTCCCATGATCACTTGCTTAAACCCTGCAGCATAAACAATGGGCTGTCCCATGATCACTTGCTTAAACCCTGCAGCATAAACAATGGGCTGTCCCATGATCACTTGCTTAAACCCTGCAGCATAAACAATGGGCTGTCCCATGATCACTTGCTTAAACCCTGCAGCAAAAAAAATGAGCTGTCGCATGATCCTAGCCATGGATCATGGTGGGTAACCCAGTTCTCTTCCACTCTTATCTCCTGCAGCCAGGTTTGTGCTTTCCAGTCACACCCAGATAGAATATGTTTGAATTCTTGATTCTAGAGACTGAGCCCCACTGGACATGTGCAGTGGTCATTTTGGGCAGTTTCCATTCTGTAAAGATATACTTGCAGCCTACAGTGTCATCGTGCTTAACCTCTAAGATTGTCACCGCCATCTGCACACAAGATTATGTTTAAAACAAAACTTTTTTTGCACTGGACAATTTTGCTGTACTATTTAAAACAAAAATATGTTATTTTATTGATTTCCTCTACACCAAATCACCCCATATGATACTGTAACAATCCATTCTATACTGCATCATCCCATTCTATACTCTATCATCCCATTCTATACTCTGTCATTACATTCTATAATCTATCATCCCATTCTATACTCTCATCACACTTTATACTGCATCCTCCCATTCTATACTCTGTAATCCCATTCTATACTGTATCATCCATTCTATACTATGTCATCCCATTCTATACTGTATCATCCCATTCTATACTCTGTCATCCCATTCTATACTGTATCATACCATTCTATACTATGTCATCCCATTCTATGCTGTATCATACCATTCTATACTCTGTCATCACATTCAATACTGTTTCATCCCATTATATACTGTTGTCCTATTCTATACTCTGTCATCATATTCTATACTGCATCATTCCATTCTATACTCTGTCATCCCATTCTCTACTGTACCATCACATTCTATACTCTGTCATCCCATTCTATACTCTGTAATCACATTCTATATTCTGTCATCACATTCTAAACTCTGCCATAACATGCTAAACTGCATCATCACATTCTATACTGCATCATCAAATTCTATACTGCATCATCCCATTCTATACTCTGTCATCACATTTTATACTCTGTCATCACATTCTATACTCTGTCATCCTATTCTATACTCTGTCATCACATTCTATACTCTGTCATCACATTCTATACTCTGTCATCACATTCTATACTCTGTCATCACATTCTATACTGCATCATCCTATTCTATACTCTGTCATCCCATTCTAATCTGTAACATTCCATCATATACTGTATCACCCTATTCTGTCGGGTATCCCATTTTAAATTGGTCCATGCACTACTATCATATTTTATACTGTATCATCCAATTCCTTACTCTTATATACTCTATTATACCAGTCTATATCCCCTTCAGTGATATAGTATACAGTTCTATAGTCTTCCATACTCTACTATCACATTCTATACTAATCTATATTTAGCCCTCTATTCTATACTGTATTATCCTATTCTACACTTTTATTTTGTTGCCCATTTTATTTTAGACAATCCTTCCTATAATATCCCCTAGTTTACCACCCAAACTTTTGCTTCAAACGTGACATCCTCATTCTATACTCTTCTACAACACACCACCTCATCCCTGTAACCCACCCACCCATAAATCTAATTATGGGTTAGAGAAGGAAGAAAATTATATTATTTTAAAAACAAATATTAAAATGTCAACAACACAGATAAAGTATTGACGTCGAAAGTCAAACATCAGCCACACAAAAACCTGGCAAAGCCTTTCCCGGTAAATAACTAAATAAAGACATGACCGAAGACTCATTAGAGACTTGAAAACCCAGACAACACAGAGATTGACGTTCTGCAATGGAATTAATGGAAATACAAGATCCACTTTTCTCTCGCCAGAAATCTGGCAAGTGCTCCAACTGAGGGGTAATGATCAATAATGTAGCAGTAATGAGGCAATAATGAACCCTATTACTGGTGCTAAACTGTGTGAGGTATTGATTTCTGGACTCCCATTCCCCATTCCGACACACTGGTCTAGTCGTCTCAACACGACCACCTAAACAGATAACACTAATTGGCCATTTTATAAAAAAAATTAAAAAGATATAAAAAAAAAAAAAGGAAATCTGAAGCCAACAAGGCAACTTTTTTGGTTTCTTTTTATGGCGAGGAAAAGAGCTGGCAACCACAAAGTAAATATGGTCACAGAAGTATGAAATTATAAACATAATAGTTTGTAGGATTATGAGGCCAATTAACCAGTTATATGAAAATTATTTTCTAAGGTTCAGGTTCCGTGTGGAACAACGGGCTGCAATAGTTGATAAACTTTTGTGTCGAGATCTGACTTCATCAAATATGAATGCTAAATACACTCAGCATAACAACAAAGACAAAATATCATTTGTTTAGGATGGAAGTCACAAAGCCGTCCCATGCCACTGATCCATCAGGCATATGGTGCCAGTCCCAACTTCATATAGACCAAACGGCACTTCGGGAGGGTATCTGAAGGGCACAGATGTAATTACTTATTGATTATCATCATGCAGCAGGTCTTTTTCAAGGTCGCTCTCTTCCTCATCCTCAGGAAAGCATCTATCTCTTTAAGCTCAGTTTCCTGCCATGAATTATATGGCAGTTTCCCCTGGCTCTCCGCGCCATCATACGGGCAGCAAGCTGGCCACATTGACTTCCCAGGATATTTCTGGGTAGCTCTTGAGGCTGGACTGACTGACCCACGGCTCACAACTTGTTGATTGTGTTGCTAAAAACTGGCTGAAATGTCCATTGCCTACACCACTCCTCTGGTAGAATCTCCTGGCTTTGGTTGTGTGCATGGTTTATCAGCTCAATCGAAGTCATCCATATTTACGATTACACTTTGTAATAACTAAAGGGATAAAGGGATTTTTCTGCTGCAGCACATTGATGGAACAGTGGATGGAATATTAGAAGAAAAAACGAGCAGAACAATGGATGGGGCAATGGGCAGAACAATGGATGGGGCATTGGACAAAACAATAGATAGAAAAATGGATGGGAAAATGAACAGAACAATGGATAGGGCAATGGGCAGAACAATGGATGGGAAAATGAACAGAACAATGGATAGGGCAATGGGCAGAACAATGGATGGGAAAATGAGCAGAACAATTGTGGGGCATTTGATGGAACAATGGAGACAGACATAGATGAAGCCGCACGGCAGGAAGGACACGGGTCTTACACACAATGTCATGTCTGAATGAGACAATCACACACAAAGGTCATGTCTGAATGAGACAGTCACACATAAGATGGAGTGAATGAGACAATCACACACAAGGTCATGTCTGAATGAGACAATCACAAACTAAGGTCATGTCTGAATGAGACAATCACACACAAAGGTCATGTCTGAATGACACAATCACACACAAAGGTCATGTCTGAATGACATAATCACACACAAAGGTCATGTCTGAATGAGACAATCACACATAAGGTGGAGTGAATGAGACAATCACACACAAAGGTGACGTCTGAATGGGACAATAACACACAAAGGTGAGGTCTGAAAGGCATGGGTATGGCCATTGAGCTAACCGAATGTGTCGATTCCTCCCCACCAAAAAAAAAAAAAAGTGCTCTCTAGACAGTCGCAGTCCCCTGCTGACGAGATTCATCTTCCCGAGTAGGCTCCAAGATCAAAACACTGGGAAGGTAGCATGGTCTGGGCTGCTAAATCTATCGGTCATTATCCTGCCCCAACACAGAACAACCACAATACACACTGCAGCCACAAAAACACATCGTATCCTGCATTGGAAATGTGCACAAAGTAGAAGTCCATGATACAAGAACAGAATAATCTGAGAGAAATCACAATCAGAGAGAAAAATCACGGCTGCCATCAGCCATTTTGGAAATGGAAGTTCAGATCTGAATGAGACAATCACAAGCAAGGTCAGGTCTAAATGAGACTATCACATGCAAGGTCAGGTCTGAATGAGACAATCACATGCAAGGTCAGATATGAATGAGACAGGCACACAAACACACACACACACAAGGTCATGTCTAAATGAGACAATCACATACAAGGTCATATATGAATGAGACAGGCACACACACACAAGGTCAGGTCTGAATGAGAAGGGCACACACACACACACAAGGTCAGGTCTGAATGAGAAAGGCACACACACACACACAAGGTCAGGTCTGAATGAAAAAGGCACACACACACACACACAAGGTCAGGTCTGAATGAGAAAGGCACACACACACACACACACAAGGTCAGGTCTGAATGAGAAAGGCACACACACACACACACACACACACACACACACACAAGGTCAGGTGTGAATGAAACAATTATTTATGAATGAGACAAGCAATCACAACAGACTGTACTTGACAAAACATGCATTTCTTCTGTCATATATCAGACTTACCAACTTTTTGTATTCCTCATGAATTTCCCTATATGACTGTGAATCTTCAACGTGAGGGTCAAAAACTACTCACAGACAAACACATGAGCAAATTATTTGTAAAAGAAACAATTTTTCAACAAAGTAATTTCAACTTTTCTTTACAATTACATGACTTTTTATCAGAACTGTTTTACAGTTAGAATTGATTTTCAGTTTAATAAATTGATCTGACATTTTCATAAAGTACTGTGAAGTATTCTCACACTTTCAGAAATAATCTCTCATGTTTTAGATATTTTCATATATGATTTTATCATCCTCATGTAGCAGATGCTTTGCAGAAAGTCGCTCTCATCACGGTCTGCCTGACAGAAAGTTGGTATTTCACCAGCTCTTCCGCCTCATGAACTTGCATATTCAAGGGGTCAATTACATCCTTTGCCCATCTTTGTGCTGGTCAGTCCGTGGTATCTTGCATTCTGCTATTTGTTTCTTTCAATTCCACCGTGGCATTAGATATGGATATGCTCTTTACTTCCTGGATGTTCAGATCTTTTAGGATGTCAGTATTTCTATTCCTCTTGGTCCTTGGTATTCTGAGAATCTTTCTAAAGCAGTTCCGTTGGAAAACTCTCATTTTCTTCCCTAGGTACTGCAAAATTATTTCAAGTTTTTATAAATTCTCAAGTTTTCAGAATGGATAGTGCAGCACTCTGAGGACAAACAGTGATACACAGTACCTACAGCTGCAAGTTTTCTGTTAAAATATCAACAGTTTACACACAGCCACATGATTGTTTGGCATCCTTCTGTCTTTCCAGACGACATTGTTATACTGCGCTATGAGGGGGCACGGGACTCACAGCCCATGGTGTCGGCATGTGTGACTAGCAAGACCCGCCAGTTTCCGAGATCAGTTACGGCCAGGGAGGAAGTTTATCCTCTCCATAGCACAAAGCCTGGGCAGTATTGTAGAGACCATATGTTGTACATGCATCATGATCCCTCCCCCGACCTGCCTTGTTTACTCCGAAGGAAAGGTAACACCAGTACATTTGGAACAAAGCAGGCTTCAGAAGCTGCCGGATCAGGAGAGCAGTGCTCTATCTGTCTACCTGTCGGAGCTTCCCTTGAAAACCAGCTGCCTGCCAAGAATAAAGTCCAGATCTGCTCTGCCATAACATAATGTTTTCAGATCGTATTTCCTCTTTCTAGGATAAGGCTAGTATCCTCCCCAATGTGCTCCTCCGCCTGAAGCCATTGGCACATTATGGGATGTCAGGTTTGGCGTACGCTGCCTAACATTCGGCCTAACAGAAAACAAGTGGTAGCTGCTACTTTTAAACGGTAGCTCAGTTAAATCTGACCAAGACACGACAGCCACATACATACACACAAAATCACACAAAGACATATGTTAGTTAGTTGACAGATTAACCTCATTACATATGGAACCTTCAGTCCAGGAGTGCTCAGATCCCCCCCCCCCCCCCCCCCCCCCTCAGTAAATCCTGCAGCGTGTAGCAACATGACATCAGTCCAAAAGTGCTCAGACCCCCCCCCCACCCCCCCCACCCCCAGTAAATCCTGCAGCGTGTAGCGACTGACGACATCAGTCAAAAGGTGCTCAGACCACCCCCCCCCCTCAGTAAATCCTGCAGCGTGTAGCGACTGATGACATCATTTCTGTGTTGGTTTCCTGCATCCTGCTCTTGTCTGACCACACCCCTTTTAGCCTGTTGTTCTTGCGGTCTGGTCATGGTTGCAGTTTCACAGCCACTTGGTTCTCACAATGACATATATTTACACATACTCATTCACCCACACACAGATACACTCCCACACTCAAACGCACAATAAATATCAAGATACACATCAATGCATATGCACTTGCACATACACAGTCATACATTGGTAAATCCATCAGCTATCTACCATTCCTATTCAGGATGCTTTCACCTCTTGATGTCATCCTCTAACTTGTATCCTTGTCTACCTCTTGCTCATCTACTTTCAACTTTTCATTCAAGAATGTGTTTTTAAATATTTTTGTATTATGTATTTTAATTTGTAAAACTGTAGTACACGGTCTCATGTCTTTTAATTTGCTGAACTATTTTTCTGTGTGGGTTTACGGGGGCAGGTGGAGTAGAGGACACTCATTGTCCTCTAACAATCACGCTGTGAAAGGCGACTAATTAGAGGTTTTCTTAATCTGTTAGGCTGAAAGGTGCAGTTTTTGCAGCCTAGCTGTAAACCACAACACAATGTGCCAACCACCCTTTTAAAGGCGAGGCCGAAGACGAAGAAGGTTCAACTATTTTACATGTCTTTTGATTTCTTTCACCTATCACTGTTTACTCTCAGTCTTACCAGAAGTTTCAGATTAATGGATCCTATGTCCATGAAATATGACTAATTCTGTGTACATAAAATATGGTTGATTCTGTATCAATGAAATATGACTGATTCTGTAACAATAAAATATGGTTGATTCTGTATTAATGAAATATGACTGATTCTGTAACAATAAAATATGGCTGATTCTGTGTCCATGAAATAGGACAGATTCTGTGTCCATGAAATACGACTGATTCTTCTAATCATCCCAGAGACTCAAGTTGATTTTCACCTGTTCACTGTCCAAGTTTTGCCCCATACAGCAGGCTTGATTATACACAACATGTGACAGTTCGCAAGTGTAACGTTGTTGATCACTCTAGATGTTACTATTGTTCAATATTATTAATAAAAAGATAGGCCAACCACAAAACTGGTATCATCACCAATTACATGATTTGGCAATTACTGGGGAAGGGATACGAGCCCTTATGAACTGAATGGTTTGATGTGCAGTGAGGAAAATCTGTTGACTAATTAACTAAAAAAAACTATTTAAATTTTCCTTTTCCTTAACTGTTTATTTTATTTCAGTCATCATCTGTTATTATACGTCCAAGAGAAGAGAATGTTACTACTTGTTCTTGTATCTATCAAGGCACTGTGATTCTGTTTGATGTTGACTCATTCACACCCAGTCACACTGCACACAAACATATGTCCACACACACTGACGTATACTTACACTCACTGACATACACCTTCACACACAATGACATACACTTACACACATTCTTATATCGAGACATACCCACGGACAAACATTGTCTCTATTACAGACACAACTTATTTAGAAACACACATCCCTACATACACACAAACATCCACACATACAGAATCACACATACACCCACCCACACACACACAGACACACACACCTACACACTTACATATACACACCCACATAAATGCCAGCTACCACAAATACACACACAAACAGACATTCACAGATTAAACACAGACATTCACAGATTAAACACAGACATTCACAGATTAAACACAGACATTCACAGATTAAACACAGACATTCACAGATTAAACACAGACATTCACAGATTAAACACAGACATTCACAGATTAAACACAGACATTCACAGATTAAACACAGACATTCACAGATTAAACACAGACATTCACAGATTAAACACAGACATTCACAGATTAAACACAAACATTCACAGATTAAACACAGACATTCACAGATTAAACACAGACATTCACAGATTAAACACAGACATTCACAGATTAAACACAGACATTCACAGATTAAACACAGACATTCACAGATTAAACACAGACATTCACAGATTAAACACAAACATTCACAGATTAAACACAGACATTCACAGATTAAACACAGACATTCACAGATTAAACACAGACATTCACAGATTAAACACAAACATTCACAGATTAAACACAGACATTCACAGATTAAACACAGACATTCACAGATTAAACACAGACATTCACAGATTAAACACAGACATTCACAGATTAAACACAGACATTCACAGATTAAACACAGACATTCACAGATTAAACACAGACATTCACAGATTAAACACCAGATTTTAGCTGGCAGTGGTGTGTGTGTGTGTGTGTGGGGGGTGTGTGTGTGTGTGTGTGGGGGGGTGTGTGTGTGTATGTGTGTGTGTGTGTTATGATGCTGTTGTTGTTCTTGATGATGCTGTTACAGCAATTAATCATCAACTGTTGATGAGTATTTTTGGTTCTTTTTTTTTTTAACAGAGGTCAACCAGTCTGTATTAGATGTATACAGTTCTCCAACATCAAGCTGTTCTGCTGTTCTGCTGTTAGGAAACATTCTAGCTGCAGCAGCTTATATCATAAAGGGAAATCAGGGTTTTCACCCCTAGCAACCTGATGGGTATTTTTCCGTGGGGGTGAGGGGGGGGGGGCATCTTATCCTGCACAGCTCACGGCTTCTTCTACAGCCATGCGCCCAGAAATCTTCAACTCACAACCCGTCATAACAAGTACTAACTGCAGACAAACATATAACCGTTACCGTAACGGTTACGAGTTATTGTCTGCAGTTAGCACTTGTTATGGTAACGGCAGTTTTCACTGAGATAAATCAAAATGAATTTTTTTTTTGAAAGGAAGCGTATGGTACTTATTCTCTCAACATAAAATGAGCCTACAACTAGAATGTGGAAATCCTGACCAAATTTGCAAAGCTTTTCCAGAAGCAGTAGATTTCGTCATACTTTATTATGATAATTATAACTGAAACACTGTCCTGTCTCTGCTTTCTGAAATCAGTAGGACTAAGAGTAAGGACACTATAGAAGTTCAATATGGCCTAGCTGTACTGAATGCGGTGTCCACACTTATGAAACGAGAAGAAGTGTACAGAATCAACAACTTACTCAGACACTTGCTCTCCATGAAAGACAAGACTGGAACCTGGAACAACGGGTTGCTGAGGAAACAAATCAACTCGTCCAGGATAAAGTCACTTCTCCGGCCCGCCATCTTGAATCTATAGGACGCCAGCAGATCGCTATGTCGTCGGCCCGGCCCGCGTTCGCCTTTTTCCGTGTGTCGGCGATTTCGCTTCAATCTTGGGGCAGTGGAGATGTGCAGGTGGGATCTGTGTGTCCTTGTTGGCCAGACAATGCTGGCTCAGGGACTGGTTCCATTCAACAAGAGATGGTACTAGGGGAGAAAGATGGGCGGGAAAACAGAGGGTAGAATAAAAATGACTGCACAGATCATGTTTGCCTAGTGAGGCATCCTTGACAAACAAAAAGACATGGACAGAATGAATGAATCAATTAAGAATGTACATCACTACACTTAGGATATTCCCACATGTGCACCATCCCCTTCTTCAGTAGCCAACGAATAGTCGTCAACTAGATCGAAATGGATCGTAAACTGTTCCTCCCCAGGTCTCTTAACGGCAAAAGTGGAAATTGATCATGATGATTTCCATCTATTGTAAATCATCAACATCAAAAATGTCAACTTCTGCAGTCTAGCGTTGTGGGAAGGAACAGTTTACGATCCATTATTTGATGGGCTGCAATGTATATGGTCATTACGTGTTTATGTAGAAGCTCTTTAATGTTATCAGTCCATATTCCCCCCAGGACGACCTCTTGCTTTCACATCCGATTTTTTTCCCCGAGTGGCGCCTCCGTTTGTATTTGTTGTGGCTGCATTCTTGCTACATGACCAAACCGTTATATCTTCTGTTTCTCTATGAATTTGCTGCATGGTGTTCCTACAGTCTGTCTGATAATATCATTTCTAACTGTCAAAGTTGGTTAATTTGGCCATTTTTATCAGGCATTTCATTTCATAAGTGTTAATTTTATGTAGGCTAGCCTTTGATAATGTCCAAGTCTGGGACTGGTAGCCCTGTGTTGGTATGAATAGACTGTTTATAATATTTTTCATGGCGCTCACAACTTATGTGTGGATGTCTTAACAGTGTAAGTTGGTATATGAGTACACTGGCTCGATGGCAGAAAAACACAGATACACAGACGCGCGCACACACACACACACTCACACGCAAGCAAAGGTATACATTAAAAAGACAATGGAGGTTACATATTTCAAAATAAACTCCGCAAGGTTGACATGATTTTTTTAAATGTGAACTGCTGCTGCCATCACTACTAGTGCTCCTGCTGCTGCCATCACTACTAGTGCTCCTGCTGCTGCCATCACTACTAGTGCTCCTGCCATCACTACTAGTGCTCCTGCTGCTGCCATCACTACTAGTGCTCCTGCTGCTGCCATCACTACTAGTGCTCCTGCTGCTGCCATCACTACTAGTGCTCCTGCTGCTACCTCTGCCGCTTAAGTGGATCAATTTAAACATGGTAAAGAAATGCGAGGAATGGCTGGGCACCCGCTCGAATCAACAGTTATGAGGCAGAGAAGATGGCGCTCTACTGGACTCAGCCTCAGAATAAGTTAGCAGTCAGCTGGATTGAAGAAACGAGGACGTCCAAGCGAAACTTCAAAATGAACGTTTATGAGAGAGACCAAAGATGCTGGACTAGATTTCCTTGACCAAATTGAAAGGATTTTACAGGATAGAACGGAGGAATAGTCTGCCAGCCCTTTGTGACACATAATGGCGTGACTGGACGATGATGATGATGAATACTTGTTTATTCAATCAAATAAACTCGACTGTCTACCCGAAAGCTGGGTATTCAATCATATAAACTCGACACTATGGAAAAGGGAGGGGAGGGGGGGGGGTGGATGCGAAATTTTCACCAGGTTGCAGCTGGCACTATCGGTATATTCTTCTTCTTCTGCGTTCGACATCAGTCATGCTACACATTGAGTCCCGTCTGGGTCATAAATAGGATTGTGCGTTTAAGGTCGCCACCGGTCCCCCCATAGCTTCTCTCGCAATGTTGATCCCTTGGGCCAGATCCACAATCTTTGCTGGGAGGGGTAAGGGCAGTACTGCAGTATGTGCTCAGGGGTCTGTCTTTCTGCTCCACAATCACAGGCAGCAGATTCTTTTATGCCTATCCTGTACAGGTGTGCTCGAAGACCACAGTGTCCAGTCCGATCGGTATATTATCTCTTTGTTGTCTGCTGAGAAATGGGACCGAGCCCGTATGGGAATGTCCCTAGTGCAGTCATGTCAGTTCATTCGTTCATTCATTCATTCTCTCATTCATTCATTAATTGATTCAAATACACTGCAAATACATCGACCGGACGGAAATCTTGCGGGGTAATGCGAGCAGATAACTGTGAGAGAACCAGCACTGGACAGCACCGTGACTGGATGCAGGCACTGGGACCTTCATGTCAGAGAGAGGACATTGAAGAAATGAGAATTTTCAACTTATGATCTAACCACCAGCCAGCCACAACATCAAGGGCGGGGGTTCTGGAGGGGTACAGATGTCAGTATTCATCGATTATCGTCATGTTGTAGGTCTTTTTGAAGAATAGCTTCCATCATCATCCCCAGGGAAGCATCTGTGTCTCTCTACGCCGTGCTGTTTTTTTGCCCTGAATGATGTCAGTATCTCTAGACTCTGTTCTCTCGGTCTCCAACTGCCTCTCCTCCCCCTCCAACTTTTCTACTGTCATAAAGTACTTCAGTTTTTTCCTTCGCATCACATGACCAAAGCATATAGATTGTCTCTTTCTGATGTAGGCAATTCAGTAGGCTACAAATTATAATAAATACAAGCCCAAGTTTGTAAATGTGAAAAAATATTAATGACATTAGAAAATATAATACAAGAAAATATGGGATGATTTAAAACAAATATAATACAAAAAAATGGGGGATCCTTAAAAACAAATATAATACAAGAAAATGAGGGATCATTTAAAACAAAATTAAAACAAGAAAATGGGGTATAATTTAAAACATATATAAAATATGAAAATGTGGGATAATTTAAAACAAATATAATACAAGAAAATGTGGGATAATTCCAGTTGATGGCAAGCGATGTTCATGTTGGTTCCCTGCCTTCGTGCGAGGAAGCAGTGAGACACTTTCATTCTGCTTAATGCCGTTTGAACGTTTATAACATCATCGGCAGGTGATTGACAGCTATTTATTGAGCACCAACCTGCTGTATGTTGCCAAACATTTCATTGCTGTGACCCTGGCAGGCTGACCACCCGGCACACATGCTGCTGATTCTGACACCTGAGAGAGGCAGACATTGTAGTAAGATGATGTCACAGCTTTCAAGTCATGCGGTGGCTGTGAAATTAACCAGGTCAACACATTGGTGGAATCTGCTGTAAAAACAACAATACTATTATACTAGTTGTATGTAATAAAAGCAATAAACAAATGGGGGGAAAAAAAAGGGGGGGGGGGGGAATTGGGGAGCTCTTTAATCCAGCTTGCAGCAGGTAACTGCACACAGGTAGACTGGGCTCCCCAGACAGAGGTGCTGGTCGCTAGGCAGACAGAGTATGAGGCTACCACTGTGCCAGCACGACTGACACCTTCCACTCAGAGGGCCATATATGTGTGAACGCAACGACTCGCTTCCGGTTTGACTCATCTGTTATGCCTGTTCATCATAGACTACTTTGTATTTGTAACTATAATATTTTTTGAAAGAATTTTTCTGAACTTGCAGACTAACTTGGCTGTGCGGATGAGCTGGCACCATGGAGTTGTTGGGACAGACTAATAAGTACACTTACACTAACACCAATGTGTGCAGTTCGGAGCCAATGGCGGCACGGTATGTCTTCTCTGGATAGCTAGTGTTGCATGGTGTCTGGATATGTGTGTGTGGGGTGGGGGGGGGGGGGGTAGGACTTGGCACGACGCTTATATCTAGAACCTTATGTTAGCCGCAGATAAGGCTTTCATAATTGGGTGTCAGGAAGCGTTGACACAATTAGGTACTGTCTTGTTTGTTTGTGAGTACACAAATATAGAAAAGTCACCCACGAAGAGATATAATGATTGGAAAAAGAGGATGGAAATTGCAGCTTAAATCTGTGAACCTGTAGTAGGATATCATGATCCTTAGCTGATACTGACTGTTGACGCTTACATCGTTAGCTGATACTGATTGTTGACGCTTACATCGTTAGCTGATACTGACTGTTGACGCTTACATCGTTAGCTGATACTGATTGTTGACGCTTACATCGTTAGCTGATACTGATTGTTGACGCTTACATCGTTAGCTGATACTGATTGTTGACGCTTACATCGTTAGCTGATACTGATTGTTGACGCTTACATCGTTAGCTGATACTGATTGTTGACGCTTACATCGTTAGCCGATACTGATTGTTGGCGCTTACATCCTTAGCTGATACTGATTGTTGACGCTTACATCGTTAGCTGATACTGATTGTTGACGCTTACATCGTTAGCTGATACTGATTGTTGACGCTTACATCGTTAGCTGATACTGACTGTTGACGCTTACATCGTTAGCTGATACTGATTGTTGACGCTTACATCGTTAGCTGATACTGACTGTTGACGCTTACATCGTTAGCTGATACTGATTGTTGACGCTTACATCGTTAGCTGATACTGATTGTTGACGCTTACATCGTTAGCCGATACTGATTGTTGACGCTTACATCGTTAGCTGATACTGATTGTTGACGCTTACATCGTTAGCTGATACTGATTGTTGACGCTTACATCGTTAGCCGATACTGATTGTTGACGCTTACATCGTTAGCTGATACTGATTGTTGACGCTTACATCGTTAGCTGATACTGACTGTTGACGCTTACATCGTTAGCTGATACTGATTGTTGACGCTTACATCGTTAGCTGATACTGACTGTTGACGCTTACATCGTTAGCCGATACTGACTGTTGGCGCTTACATCGTTAGCTGATACTGATTGTTGACGCTTACATCGTTAGCCGATACTGATTGTTGACGCTTACATCGTTAGCTGATACTGACTGTTGACGCTTACATCGTTAGCCGATACTGACTGTTGGCGCTTACATCGTTAGCTGATACTGATTGTT